TCTCCAAATCCTTCCACTAGAACAACTCATTTTCAACCTTCTTCCGCTGCAACAATCACCGCCGCCGCTGCCGTCTCACCACACTGAGCTACGCTCCGAATAGTTTACCACAATGGCGGCTTCAGCTTCTTCAACTATGCTTTTATCTTCAAAATCTTCACGCGCCTCTCTCTCATGGAAAAACCAGTTTGCTTCCACCTCTGTCTTTCGCGTCTCCGGGGTTACCCTCCCGCGCAGAAGCCTCCGTCAGTGTCCATGGTTCATTGTTTTCTCTATGGACGCCAAACCTACGGTTCTAGTTGCTGAAAAACTAGGTGAGGCAGGGTTAAAACTATTAAAGGAATTCGCGAATGTTGATTGCTCATATAACTTGAGTCCTGAGGAGCTGTGCACTAAGATCTCTCTTTGTGATGCGTTGGTTGTGCGGAGTGGAACAAAGGTGACCCGTGAGATCTTTGAATCTTCTGGTGGACGGCTGAAAGTTGTTGGACGTGCTGGTGTGGGGATTGATAACGTTGATCTTGCGGCGGCAACAGAGCATGGATGCCTTGTTGTTAATGCACCCACTGCTAATACAGTTGCAGCTGCCGAGCATGGAATCGCCCTTCTCACTGCTATGGCTCGGAATGTTGCTCAAGCTGATGCTTCTGTCAAGGCTGGTAAGCGTTTCAACTTTTCAGAGGCAGATCTAGAATTTTAAGTCTGGCAAACTACTAACATAACCATTAATCACTTCGGCACAATTTATGTGACACTTTTCAAATTTTGAGATTCAAACAAGTCTCCTTACATTTTTTATTTATCTTTTAAATTATTTTGAATTGCCAATTTTTGTGACTTTACTTTTTATGTAGCTTATAAATATGTAAATTTCATTTTTTAAAAATGAAGATTCCTTGCGCAATTTCTGGTCAAACTTCTCGAAAAATGAAAAGTGCAATATAAATTGGGACAGCGGACAGAGGGAGTACTTATTTTGTGACCGTGGGTGCTAACTTAGTTAAATATATTTTCAAAAAACTTTCAACTAGAGGCTGTGCGAAAGTCTCAATCTGCCCCAGCATCATTGTGTTTTGAATACAATGACATGCCCGCGAATATAATCCTCAATGAGTTTGTTTTGTGATTGAGAGAAATATCTTATGAAATCCATGCATTATGGTCTCGCAAGGCTGATTAGATCTATGTCAAGTTGGTCTAAATGTTCTATTACCTAGAAAGAGAAAAGATTGTAATTTGACATAGATCTTATTCAAGTGAAATACATGCACATCTTCTTTGGAAGTAGCTGTAGCAATTTTATTTTATTTTTGCAGTAAAGCAGTGTTATCAAAGGCGAAAAGCGCAAAACAGCTCTAAGGTCTGTTGGGGCTTTAAGCGCAAAGTGCAAATAAAGCATGGGCTTTAATTAAAAAAGCGCAAAGGCAAAATTCAAATATATGTGTTTAGTCAAGACTAATAATTATAAACATGTATGACCAAAGAAATTAATAAAACATTATGATAAAGTTCAATATCAATTGTTTAGTGTCACTTCTGGAAAATTTTGCCTTAGAACCTTAGTGACGACACTAAAGTGCACATAAAGCGAGGCTAGGCGCTCAACACGCTTTGATCCTCACTTCAGGGCTTAAGCGCGCCTTTGACAACACTGCAGTAAAGACAACCCTTTTTAATTTTATTTATTACAATGCCTTCTAAAAAGGTGAACTCATCATTTTAGTGTGTAATTCGAGTTGGAGTAGCTTAATAAGTCAGATTGGTCTGTGACTTTGTTGATTCAAAGATAGAAATGCTTGACAAGCATGCGAATTGATGAAATAGTTGATGTATCTAGAAGAAATAACTTCATCAATGTTGGTGCAAGTATGAAAAACCTGGAGATCCAGGCTCAAACCCTAGCTACAACACTTAGCTTGTCTTAGTTATCAGGCTTACCCAGTACCTGTCCTATTCTTGTGGGATGCATTAGTCAAGGTACACGCAAGCTGTCACTGTCATAAAAGAAACGCATAAACGATGATCCACAGCTAATTGGTTTTATTATTTGTTCTGCTGTCAGTTCTAAGGCCACTTCTTTTTCTTTTTGGAGAAACTCTAACCTCCATCTGTTCTTCCCTTTCTAAGCATTCTTAGGATCATTACCCAAAATATGGAACCCTCAACCCAATCTGTCTTTAACTTTCCACTTTCTTTTTCCCGATGTTTATTTGCTTGGAGTAGATGTCTGAAAATATTGTTTCCATGGCTGCTAACGAATTCCCCTGATATACTTGTTGCTTTGACACACCTCTAAAAAATTGTATCATGATATGGTTTCCAGGGAAATGGTTGAGGAACAAATATGTTGGTGTCTCCCTAGTAGGCAAAACACTTGCTGTGATGGGTTTTGGGAAGGTTGGATCAGAAGTCGCAAGGCGAGCTAAGGGGCTTGGCATGCATGTCATCGCTCATGACCCATACGCCCCTGCTGACCGTGCACGTGCTATTGGTGTGCAGCTTGTGAGCTTTGATGAAGCCCTTGCATCTGCCGATTTCATCTCACTTCACATGCCACTGACCCCTGCTACAAAGCAGATCCTGAATGATGAAACTTTTGCGAAGATGAAAAAGGGTGTACGGATTGTGAATGTTGCTCGTGGGGGTGTGATTGATGAAGAAGCTTTGGTGAGGGCACTTGATGCAGGCATTGTGGCACAGGTCCTGGATCTTCATCTTTGAGACACTCAAAACCTATGAATTAGTAATTATTTGTTGAGCTATTGTTGTCTCTATATTTCCCTCAAACCTTCATGCCTGTTGGAATATCGAGTGTCCAAAAGCCATCCTTTGTTATCTTTCACCTTTCCTCTCCATTGGAGGATTGGACTGTAGAATAGACTTCTTCACTGCCAGTCTATGTAATTGTACTAACATATAAATCCTGTAACAGGCTGCACTTGATGTTTTCACTGTGGAGCCACCACCAAAGGATAGCAAGTTGATTCAACATGAGAATGTGACTGCAACTCCACATCTTGGTGCTAGTACTACAGAGGCTCAGGTTTGTGCACATTACAATCATGTTTGCCACACTTTTTCTTCCAGTTCACCCATTTACTAATACTCTCTGAATGATTGTCCAGGAAGGTGTGGCAATTGAGGTCGCTGAAGCAGTTGTTGGCGCTTTGAAAGGGGAGCTCTCAGCTACTGCTGTCAATGCACCTATGGTTCCTGCTGAGGTACATGCTTTCAGTATTTACCAGTTATCACCCTCTATTATTTATATTTCAGGAGGGGGGTTGGAAGGCTTGGTGCTGTACTTTAACTGAACTAGCATGCCCATGTAGGACGTCTTTCATTTATCTAATTAGCCTGTAATCTGTGTTATTGTAGCTGAGTCCTTAGAGTTACAGATATGTAGAGAAGTGGTTTATCCTTTTCCCCTGTATTTTCTTTAACAGGGGAGTTGCTTGTTGAATTGATAAAACATATGTCTGAATTTAACTTTTGCTACCTCTCTCATGCAGGTGCTATTAGAGCTGAAGCCTTTTGTTGTACTTGCTGAAAAACTTGGTAGACTTGCTGTCCAGTTGGTTGCCGGTGGAAGTGGTGTTAAATCAGTGAAAGTAACATATGGTTCAGCTAGAGCACCTGATGATCTTGATACAAGATTGCTTCGTGCCATGATAACTAAAGGCATGATTGAGCCAATTTCCAGTGTTTTCATTAACTTGGTTAATGCAGATTTCACTGCTAAACAAAGGGGACTACAGATATCTGAAGAACGACTTCTCCTAGATGGTTCACCAGAAAGTCCAGTTGAGTTCATTCAGGTTCAGATAGCGAATGTAGAATCCAAGTTTGCCAGTGCTATTTCTGACTCAGGAGAGATTAGAGTGGAGGGTAGAGTTAAGGATGGAGTCCCTCATTTGACAAAGGTCGGGTCTTTTGAAGTGGATGTGAGCTTGGAAGGCAGTATCATTCTTTGCAGTCAGGTTGATCAGCCAGGAATGATTGGAAAAGTGGGTAGCGTCTTGGGTGAGGAGAATGTGAATGTCAGCTTCATGAGTGTTGGAAGGGTTGCTCCTAGAAAGCAAGCTGTTATGGCTATTGGGGTGGATGAACAACCCAGCAAGGAGTCACTAAAGAGGATTGGGGAAATTCCTGCCATCCAGGAGTTTGTTTACCTTGGATTGTAGGGCACTACTATAATTTTTGGGATCTGAATTCTTTATGAAGCAAAATTTGGTGATGTTGTTCACAAGTAGATTAGTGTAGGATAATAAACTATCGGCTTGTGATTAGTGATATTTTTCCTATATTGAGTTTTTCAATATGATATTTTGTATTTCTTTTTTATTTTAAGAGATGTAAGCATTTCCTTGTTCCGCCTCCTGTTTAAACAAACGCCTCATTACTTTTGTCTTTGCTAGGAATTATGTGTATGTTTGAGATGTTGCAAGTGTTGGTTGTGTGCTTGGAACTAAATTAGGTATGGTTGGAATGGTGTGGATGATTAGAACATGGGTTGTTTGGTAGGGTGGATTAGGCAAAATAATGGTTTTACTTATACACTTCATTGAATACTATTCTCATACATTACATTTTTTTATTACCTCTCTCTTGGAGCACCCCCACTTTACTCAAACCCACAACATTGAGATTAAGGGTTGCGCAACTTCTCTCGTCATACTACTCTTACACAGAGAAAATCATACCAATACCATTCTTATGCTTATGCTTATACACCCTATCTGTTACTATTTAAAAAATCATGCAATGCAATGTATGTTATTTTTAATAGAATAAATCAAACATTCGATATGAAATAACGTCAGCATTAATAATCCCAACTTACTAGTCCTAGTACTATTTGTGTTGTGGGAGGAAAAGTTGGTCTCATTATATGGCCTTGGATCATCTTTTGACTTAACTTCTGGGTCACTTGGTCAGAAATTCACAGGAGTCAGACATCTGAAATGTAGTAAATGATATTGCTAGTGTAACTAGTCAATTGGTACTTCAACCTCCATCTTCAAACCAACATACTTGTACCATTACAATGTCTGCTAATGATTAATTGACAATCACCTTCATGTTGAAATACTATTAATAACAATCTCTTCTCTGAATCAGACAGTTCCTATAATACTGTCAATTACAATCATAGCCAACAAAAAGCATATGAAAACTACCGGCATCACCCGGAGAAGATGTTATCACTTTTGTTGCTCATTGTTTTTCAATACAAAATATCTTTCTAACTTCCCTCTTAAGGCAAAGACACCAGCCATCTGACTTCAGCTTCAGGACCACCAAAACCATTTTTGTAGCATCATGACAACAGAAACTACACTTTCAATGCCAACAAAATTTTGTAAGGGGTACAGCTCAAACAAAAGCCAATCATTATTTTCCTCTATCTATAAATCTATTATCACGCTAAATCAGGTGAAAATAATAATAAAAAGTAAGAACCAGAATAATCAAGGCATGCACACAGCACAAAATCGCTGTATGATCCATGTACCGAGCAGAAAAAATGTGGCAGGCATAATGTTCCTTCAGGCCTTGCCTAGTATATCTAATTAAGGGAAGTAACTTCCATCTGTCTAAATACCACTGTTGGTCCAGCTTTTCTTTTAATTATGCGAGCTGGATTGTCCATTATCACAAGGTTGAAGTATTTGATTGATGAGCTGCTCTGGTAATCTTTTTGTAGCCTGCAAAAGGGGAGTTCAAGAGAACATTTAATTCTATATCCAACTAACTAGCTCTTTTCGTGTGCAACTCAAAATGGACTACTGCAGGATCAATTATAACATCTCTTCATTTGCTCCAAGCAAAGTACACGAGGCATTGTCATGTTACCTGGATAAATTCATTTTGATAATAAAGATGAGGAAACAAACCTGAAAATGTCTCATGTGCAGAATTGGCTCACAACCAATATCCGCAATTTGTTTTCCTTTCGGGGTTAGCAAACTGAAACGTCCTGCCTCATAAGCTGAAAGTTCAGCTTTGTTATGGGGCAAGCTGTGGCAAACTCTTAGCAACGAGCTAAGAGAGTTCATCTGACAGGAAAAGGATGTAATCAAATCAGATTTCATCTTTAGAAAAGAAAAAACTTATATTTGGTTCAGGAAGACACCCACTAAATAACTGCACTTAACTAAGTTGAAGTTTAACATGCTGCAACAAGTAATTCTACGTCAACAATGCAAGATTTGAAAAAATATAACATGTAGCAATAGGTCATTCTATGATGACAATGCAACATTTGAAGGTACCTAGTTTGGGGCAACCACATATAAAAAGATTGGAAGGGGAGTTAAAATGTTGAAAGATCAGGAAGAGGCTAGACTATACTCAATCTCACTGAGAGTCCAATGAGAATGCTTTGAATGATCATTCATATGGGATTTAAGATCTTCTGTTTACAAAGGTAATCATATCGGATTTAATATCTTAACAGGAGTGTGCTCCTTGCCAAGACAATGCATATTAGGAAAGCTTATTTCACAGTGGAAGAGCTACTTTTATCATTAAAGTGAGAAGGAAAAACAGAACTTAATAAAATATCACCACCATCTTAAATAACAAGCATTTTGAAGAAAGCCATGTCTGATAGTTTCTTGACTGTGCATCTTGCTTCATCAAAAGGGTTCAAACTGTTCATCAGTCTACCTTAATTCCAAATATCAAGCGAGTCCTCATTCTATACTCATTGAATCAAGACATCTAAATCATCTGCACAATATCGCATGAAGCCCTTAACGTCACTTCGGGCCCTGACAATTCACTCGTGCGCCCCCCACCCCACCCCCAACCTAAGGAGAAAAAATAAATAAATGTGAAATCATATTATTTCTCAACAGTTACGCCAATTGTATCTTGTTTTCCCAACTATTAGTCTGTTACCCATCTTATGTGTATTTCCCTTTAAGTTTCTTTCAATGACATGCTTGATACTACCTGGGTCACGGAGAATATTCCTCCCTTTACTGTTTGTTTATGCTTTACACTAGCAGGTATATGACATGCCTGTTTCATGGCAACGATGGTAACAAGGGGAAGCAATAACGAGTAAACAGCTTTTAATAATTAGTTTTAAACAGGGAAGTTCAAGGAAAAACAATTTATCATTATGCTAAAATACTTCTTAATACAAAACTTTAGCACCTACTACGCATTGAACAAGACTGTTAACGGTCCTAATCCCAGCTGAAACTCATTTGTCAGACTCCAAGACTATTTGAAACAAGGAAAAAATGAAATTACCAAGACACAAAAAAAGATAATTTTTTTAAGAATCTGTAATTGTATTGATTAAAAAGCACCAAGAAAGTACAGCAAAAATATTTACAAACAAAAGCAAAAGTATGTCCCTGGAGCTAATAAGATATTTCAAGTCTAAGACAGTGAAAAGATAAATCAATATTCAAGTCTAAGACAGTGAAAAATAAATCAATCTTCAAGAGTTCAAAATGCTGTAGTGTGAGCACTGATTCGCTATATACCCCTTCATTTGTTTTTTTAATTCCCCACCTGAAATTTTACCATCAGTCCCCTAGCAATCACGAAAATTTATATTGTCCGTGTAGTGTAGGGTAGTTTTACAGTTTTACTTGCGGTAACATGTCATTTATCATCTGTTGCATGTTATCAATCTATGATTGCTATGAAAAGTCACCCTTAATTGCTTTTTACACTCACTTAAGCTTAATAGCTTTAACATGATTTTATATTTTTTTATGTACATATAGCTGAGTTAGAAGTTGTTCCGTTATGCATGGTATTGCGAATTTTCATTATGATATGTATAAAGATACATGTATATAAATGTGTGTGCTTGTACACAATGTGCTTCTCTAAGTGAGTCCCTCCCACATGGTCTTAAATTGTGTATATTACTAAATGGAATCTGGACAGCTTCATTGCAGGAAAGGTTCTATGTCCAACCTAAAGTTGCCAAATTTGGGACTCCATTTCTCAAATATCCGAGCCATCGGATCTGAAGCTCAAAGTTCCAAACTATTAGGAGATTCAAGAATTTAGCTGAAAGCAATAAAAGATAGCTTTTGGAAATCAGGAGTGGCACTAGGATTCCTAAACTGCAAGGAATATTACTGCACAATGAATAACAGAAAAATGTGAAGGAATGCGTTGAACCATTTAGAGAACATTTCTTGACCAATATTCTCTGCCTTCGCAATCTCCTCTGAACATCTTTTCATAGTCAAATCTAATATGGATCCCTATAATGCACCCCATACATATAAAGGCACCGTGGCATATAAAAACTGTTGACAGAATTCTCTAATAATAGTACGAAGGAAATGATCTTCTCTAATATGCATTAGGAATAAGAGTGATACTGAAGAAAACAAAGAATGACTGATTTTTGGTCATCTTTTTTGGCAATAGCAAATAATAACAGCTATGAAATGTGACAATTGTAAGTACTTTTAAGAAGAAGCAAGCAATGGATGACAGAAAATCAATGCTAACCTTCATATATGGACAAGAGGCACATCCACCGTGAAGAGAACACCCCTCTCCACTTGCAACTCCAGGTATAACATTGACCTTCAAGGAATCCCTCATTTCACCAAACGTTTGGTCCAAAGATGTTCTTGTCACTGATTCTGATGAGACAGGAAAGACAATCTCAACACTAACTTTTGCTCCTCCGGAAGAGGGGTCAGCAGAACAGAGTAATTTACGGACTGTAGCAACTATTGAAGTAATCATTCCTGATTCTGTTCCTAAAACAAATTGAAGATGGTCATCTACATTTCTATCCAAGGCCTCTTGTACCCTTTGTTTGATAAAATCTAGTATGTTTTGGGTAGAACCTACTACTCCCATGCCCCTTTTCTTAGCTTCCATTGCTAGAGAAAACATTTCACCAGGAACTTCAAAGTGTGCAGTAAGGAATGCATCAGAATACATTTCATTTATCTTCCCCACAACTTCATGACCAAAGAGGTGATGAACAATGCATGTCCCATCCTGGAGGAGGGAAAAAGCAACAGAAGCAACAATAGGTTATTCATTAACTAAAACGACGATGCTGAATAGCATATTTGCACAATATCAGACAGTAAATCAAAGCATTATTGATGTTCTCAAATAAAAGTTTCCAGGAGATAAATCTTTTCCTCAAAGTTTACACTCAACAAATGCTTCAACTTAAATTACAGTGAAGAATGGCCATTTAACACCTAATTCATTTGCCTAAGTGTAAAAGAACTTGAATTACCTGAAAATAATGCAGTCGAGGAAGCAAGGATTTAATGGACATTCTGTTGTGTAAAGGATGAATCTCAGAAATTTCTTCATCAGTCATCACGGACATCTGACTGAACAATTCCATAATGTTTGAGCCCATGTAGGTATCAGGACCATACCACACCTTCAAGTCAGGTACTTCAGCAAATGCCTGGATAGATGTTAGATGCAGCTTCATTAGTTAAAGAAAATATGCTGACATTTATCATTGAAAAGACAAAAATATTTTGAAGAATTTGAAACAAGACAAACAATGGAAGCAATTCAACCGACCTGTAGAATAGTTTGCACAACATTAGAGGAAGTACATGTTATGGTTGGAACAAGCTCATGGGAATATGCTTTTGTCTCCAGAGAGGTATTTATGTAGACAACATGCAGAGATGGAGAAGAAACTGAAGCTGTTGTAAGATAATCCATGTATGATGGACTGGATGCAGCTTCAGCCAAAGAGCAACCAATGTGTTCATCCGACATCCGATAAACTCCAACCTACACAAAGAAGCATTAATCTATGCAGAAGATACTTGAGAGCACATACAAGATATCATCAAATTCTGTAATAGATATATTCCATGTTATGGCAGAAACTATCAGTATTAGAAAAAGAAGATAATCCCAAAATAACATGGTAAATCCCAAAGGCTTGGAAGATTCAAATTACTGATTCAGTTGGATAATATTCATTAATCCAAATCTTACCCCCTACATCCCACACACACCGAGGAAGTGAAATGCTATTTGTTTAAGCAAAAGTGGGTTCAGTAGTGTCTGAATTCTTTTTCATAGTCTACCCATCTATTCTTGAAGATATATCATATGAGCAATGAAATTGGTGGCGTACAGAGAAAAGATTCCATTTTTATCGCAGAAAACTGGACCTGTATACCACAAAAAGATTTTAGTACCTATTAACAAGTATACCTTAGGCCAAGTTGAACAAGCTAGCCTATGGACTTTGAAGGGATTTTGGATCAAAGAAGATCAACAACATAGGGGTTTTTTTTAAGCAGGAAGAGATACAGATGGGCAAATTTCAAAGTAGTAATCCAATTAAGCAGTAAAAAGAGCACTTAACATGACAATTCATCGTGTATTTATTAGTAGGAGAAACTGCTCTCTGCTGCTTTTTTCATGAGGTCTATTTTTACTGAAAAACATGGGCTTTTCTTTTAAAAATTTGCACATCATGTCACAGCCGTTCTGATCTAGTACGAAGAAATCATTTACAATGGTAGTCACAACTGGTTGACCAAGTAAATAGAGCTCATGATATTATAGAACAGAAAACAGGGGATGTGTTTACCTCTGGAAATCCAGCTTGATCAAGAATAGCTCGCACGTTCTCTGACATGAAATCTACACCTAATACAGTTATAAATTGACATCCAGATTTTGCCATATTGACAGCTGAATCTGCCATGACCAAAGAATCAGATATATGTATATGGGGCCAAAACTTCTGTGCTGCAGTTAGAACACCTTGCACTTCAGGATCCATGTAAAAATGAGCAACAACTCCAATTTTCTTCTCTTTTAGCGCATTGACGAGTTCTTGGACCCTTGATTCATCAGGAAACAAGAACCTCGCCTGCAATTACAATAGAAATCAACTTAGAACTTTAAAGGTCAGGAAGTTCAAGGTCCCTAATTCTAAAGAACAGCATCAAGGTCTAGAATATGTATGGTGCCTCACTAAATTTACTTTTATAACAAACGAAACACAATAATCTAGGACACAAAACAAATGATGAACAAGTATTTCCTAGTTCACAATAAAGGTATGAGATACTAAAGTTTGAAGGCCAAAGTTCCTGTTTTTTTTTTTTGATTTGGCATCGGCAATTTCTAAAACTCAACTGCTAATCATGAATAATTGAGTGAACAGAAAGAGCACCTGGGCTTCAGCATAGCTCCCTTTGGGTTGGATACCATCAGCAGTCACTACCAGAGATGGGAACAGCTCGCTGCGCGGCTTTCCATCGCGCTCCGCCACCACAGCCCTTGTTCTTTTCTGCATGCTGACCAACACATTATGCCATGTATTCACCCTAGATGCAGATCCTTTCCTGTTCAACCCCACAGCATTCAGAGCATTCAAATCCTCTGTTTTCAACGCCAGCACCTCATCTGGGACAGCCCCATCAAGCAGCCAAACCAAACAGGCGCAAAACCCTTTAGTTAGCTCCGAATCACTGTCCACCAAAACTCTCATCTTGCCTTCCTCATCTAAACTCACATGCAGCCATACCTGCGCAGTACAACCCGGCACGCGATTCTCCGTGGTCTTAACGGACCCATCCATAGAAGGGAGCAGTGAGGCGTAGTGCATTAGACGCTTCACGCGATCGATTGGTTCAACTAGGGACTGGAATTCCGAAATCAGAAGTTTAAGCTTGGCAGAAGAAGAAGAAGCAGCATCCGAATGCGCATTGGGATGAGATTGGGAAGGAAAAGAAGTAACAGCTGAACAGGTAAAGGGTGAATTTAAGGGCTTTTTGGAATCAGGGTTTAATGGGGATGGTAAGAACGGAGCTTGTATGCATTTCACAAGGGGTCTAAAAGTCGAGGGCAGTGTATAAACAGAGGAGGGTCCTCTTGAAATGGGTTTAGGACTAGAAAATAGACATGGGGTTTTCGAAAAGAAGGAAGAAGAAGAAGATTTCATGGCTAAATTTGCGGCATCCATTACAGAACTGTGTTTACTGGAATTCTTGAGTGAACAGAGATTAGAAGAAAAAAAAAGTTAGAAAGAAGAAAAAATTATGAAAAAGAGGGGTTTTGCTGGTGAAGAAGGTTGTTCTCGAAGTGCGGAAAATGGTGGTAGACAAATGGATTTTGTATGTGCAGAAGAGAGAGAGAAACAGAGAGGAAACGGGAGGAGGAGGAGAAGGAGGGCCTTGGAATAAATAGTGATGGTGGCGGAAACAAAAATAATATACCCACCTTTATCACCCGCGAAAATTGTAAGCGCAAATATGTGTTTAGGGTCGATTTGGAAAATCACTTGGTAATTGAAATTGATGTAATTACTAAGATAGTAATTATCAGCCTAATAATTATACAGTCTAATAATTATATTGATCTGTTTGATTGTCACAGTGTAATTACAATATAATTTCATTTGTCCTGTTTGGTTGAACGAATGTAATTACACAGTTAAATTTTAAAATAAATAATATTACTACTTAGTTAATTAATGAATACAAAGTTTTCTTCTGGCCACAATGACAAACAAAATAATGAAACTTATCATGCCAAGAATAGACTAGTGGATCCATTAGGCAGTTCAGGTTCTATACATTTGGCCGGGTATAGGGATGCGCTGGCAGCGTGAGGTAGATCGTTGTATCATCACTTATAGCTCTTATGTGATGGTTGTACGGTTAGAGAAACTCCCACAAAAGTTATTGTATTTTTATATACATCAGTTTATTGTATTTTTTACATACATTTCAGAGTTATGTTGTATCCTTGTACATACACAAAGTTGATATCATGTTTTTTTAAACAACTTTTCTTTATATTGCACTTGTTTAAACTGTTTTATATTGAAATGAGTTCAGTAAGTATTCATGAGTTGAGAAGAGCCAAGGTAAGTGTTTCTTTCAGATTCCCTTTCAAGCCTATGTTTGTTAGCATTCCAACTCGCATACTCATACATTCAATGTATTGATGCCAGTTGGCCTGCATCTTATTATGATGCAGACACAGGTAACTAGGATCGGCATCCGGCGTATCGTTGATCTAGTGAGCAGTTCAGAGTCTGTTGGTGAGCCTCTTTGCATTCCAGATGACTCCTTTTTATTACTTTCTAGTTAGTTCATTATGATGTTGTGGGGTCTGTCCCAACATCAATCTCAGTTGTTATTAGAGGCTTCATAGACAGTCAAATGTTAGTCCTTCGAGTCTTTTCATTATCTTTTCTTATTGTTAAGACTTGGGTTGCCACTTTTGGCCAAGTTGAATGTTTAATCTTTAAAACATTCTCAATTATTTTGTTATTCAGTTCAGTTAAGTTCATTTATCATTATAGATATGAATTTTGTCTTCCGCTGAGTTAAGTAAGTCAGGCCAAGGATTCGCTTGAGGCCAGCAATGGTCTTCGAGTGCCAGTCACGTCCAGGGTGTAGGTTCGAGGAGTGACACGACAAGACTGATGATTGGGGTGCAGCTAAGAAAACATCGACTGGTAATGGTTTTGAAAGAAGGGGGGAAAGAGGTGAAAGAAGAGGATTTTTCTCCGATTCCAGTCTAAAGCTGATGAATCTGATAATTGGGCAGCGAATAAAACTTGTGTACCCTCTTCTGGTCGAAGATTTGATAGGAGAGGGAGTTTTGGGTCAAACGGTAGTGATTCCGATTTGGATCAGTGGACCAAAAAGAAGGAAGAGGAAGGTGGACTGAGATTTGCCTCCGGTGGTGGTGCATTCGACAGTTTAAGAGAAAAAATAGGTGGGTTATTGGGTTTATGGGGAGGGTTGTGGGTTTATGGGTTAAAAGAATGGTCAAACGGGTAGTTGATTAGGATTAAGACATGTGTACAGAACGAGAGGTCCATTAGTGAGAGGGGCATGTGTGTACCGATAATTGGAAGGCAGGGGCATATGTGGACGCAAAGTATAACGGAGGGCATAGACGTATCATTTATCAAAGTTCGGGGGTAAAATCGTCCTTTTTCCCAATAAAAATATAGCCAGTTGTTCTTCAACTCTAACCATTCTTGAATCAGTTAATAGACCTCTTGTTTTCATCTCATCTACAAGTTGCAAGAAACATTCAACATCCATACATAGTAGGTGATAACTCCACGAGGATATCCTTCAATCAAATATTTAATAAACTTCGCTCCAATTAAAATTGATTTATGCACTCTTTTTTTTATCCAACACCAAAATAATTTGCAATGATACTAATTAAAAATACACATTTTGCCAGAAACACCATGACGTGATACTCCTTTGCCATCCTATTTGACAAGTAAATGAATTAATTTTAAAACTATAATGGCATAAGAAAGAGCGGAATATTCTTATGATGGCAATTTGGAACAAATATGTAACGTAATTTGAAAACAAAGAAGAGATAAATAATAATACTATATACAATTTCAACAAAACATAAGATAAATCTTAGGCTTAATTCTAGAATAGATAATCTAGAAGTAAATAAGAAACTAGCCCAAAACATCATTTGAACAACAAAATATGTTTTTAAACGACATTACTCAATATAAATCAAGTTTGCGCATAACCCATTTTTTTCTAAGCTCTGGAGCCAAGCAGCAAAAAATCCAGCATTTCTCAGGTCAACAGTTTGCATAGTTCATTCATTATCGAAGTCTAATTTCAATATCAAAGGCATTAATTTTTCAGCAGAAGTGTTTTTTGGTTCATGTTGTAGCCTTATTTGTTCTTCAGCTATTGTTGTCCATCTATCAACAGATTTGGCCAAGCTATTTTCAATAGAATTCTTAATTCTCTTGGGACGTGATGCCAAAGTTGGTTGCTCATCTAAATGACTTTTTCCTGCTCTCTTTTCTTGATTAGATGATTGGGTTACTTCAGTACTAGTAAAGTTCATGTTCTGAACAAAATATCCATCATCCGGGTCAACAAATTATGTATCTTCAGGAGCAGGTGTGGTAACTTTTTCAGCAGATATATCATCATCGGTGAATTCACTTTGAAAATCTTCGACATCATTAATTTCACACCCATTCCTATCATCACCGATAGTATCTCCAAAAAATAAGGCAAAGTATTATAGTCTGGCAACGTCTTCGTCCTATACGTAGAATTTTTTGGGTGTGCCTATTATATTATCAATAGTCTTTAATCAGAAAAATAAATAACATAAATTTAAACTATATTGGGAAAAAAAATAACAATATATATAACTCACTGCAAGGTATTGCTCCCAGACATCATCTTCAACATCAACTTTTTGAATTTCTTCATTCCACCCAAATTCACTATGTTGTGACATTTTACTTCATAGTAGCATATATCTTCTTCAAAGTTCTCATCCTATTTTTCATTTTAGTCTTATCTAATTTGTCCCCATATAGCTTGTTCATTTCTTTTTCTACACTATCCCATCCTTCGGTGGTTAAGCCTCCTGGTTGCGTTCTTTCCAACTTAACTTGTTCAACAATAAAGTAAATGAAGTGTTCATCTTGAACTTCACTCCATTTGGTGTATGGTTTTCCAACAGGTGTTTGGTTAGTTGTCATCCTACATAAATGAAAATATAAAACACTAAAGCAGGCTATGATGTTAATTTGACAAGGTGAACTTGATTGTTCTTAGAGTAACACGAGGAGTAATGTACCTCATGCTCACATTTACCGGATGACTATGACTAATCACCTATATCAAGTATGGCAAGAGAGGAATCAAAGATTATTTTGGTTCGACGCATCATCTAGGAAATGATGTACAAGACCAGTTTCAAGCCCAAGCGAGCAACGATGATAGCTAACCTGAACTATTAACCCATTTAAAGTTTGGTTGGTGGGCTAGCTAGGAGTTGATATTTTATTTTGCTACTCACTATTGCTACCAGTGATAATATTTATGCATTGTAACAATCAACTAGACAACTTTAAATACAAAGAATGTAAATAGGAAGAAAGCAAGAGCAGAGGCATATCGACTAAGGCGAACTTCACAAAGTCATAAGCTAGTAAGACAAGGAAGAGAAATAAGCAAGCCAACATGCTTAAAGCCATGATTTATTAAAACCAAACAGATCCTGAAATTACATAACTAGATGATTGTCATTGTAGGAAATATGTATAACTGATTGTTAGAATCGATTTTCTAATTTATTATTATTATCAGAAATTAAAGAAAAAAATAATAATTCTCATATTTATTTTAATCTCAAGAACTAACAGGAGAAAAAACAAAGACCAAATTCATACATAATCTATCTAGACATCAAAATATGAAAGTAAAATGAATCAAGAAATAAATCTTACTTGAAAGAAGAAGTACAGGGTTTGTTGTTGTGCCGTTGTTAGAACTGAAAATGTCCAGACAAAAAAGGAAGAAGTGTCTTTTGGTATTCCAAACAAAAATATATTTTTAAAAAATATAACATTAAAAAAGAAAAAATTATTTTGGCCAGAAAATTTTGGCCATAATGGCCAGAATGGCACATTCACACTATAAACAGGTTTACTTTTTGACATTCTTACCCTTATTTAAATATAAATTTATTAATTATTTTTTAATACATGAAAAGTTTCCCAATACATGGGGAATAGACTTGTTCCCGGATTCTCATAATTTCCATAAATACATGTTAATTTCAATTTCTTTTAAAAAGGCTATAAAATGATAGCCTTAATAATTTATTTTCTTCCCTCTACTTTTCCAATATAAATTATGAAGAACACAAATTTGAAATTTACAATTAAGAAATAAAATTTGAAATTTAAATGGCAAGATAAGCACTAATAATATTAAATTTACAATAAATCTATCTCACACTCAATTCAAATTCAAGATTCATAAAATAACTTAACAAGTAAAATTATTAATAAAAAATGTCATATATACTGGCCATTTATATAATACTACTACTACTAATAATAATAATAAATTATATTTCTCAACTTTGTGATATAGAGATAATATATTTTTTGTTAAAAGAAAGTGGCTCACATCTATTTCAATTGTTACATATATAACTTTGATATAGCTAAAATCTTTTTTAGCTGACGGAAGTGAAAAAATTGATTCAAAATTAATTTTTGATAAAATAAAAATTATACAAGGTATGTTTGACCCTTCTCGCAATATTTTGAGGTATGCTTGAAGAGCCAAGATCACTTTTGGCTGACGGAAGTGAAAAACTTATTAAATTTTTTTAACAAAATAACAATATAAAAGGTATATTTAACCCTTCTAGC